CTTCTGTGTTGATATCAGACAGGCCCAACCAAGACTTTTCTCCTCCGTGCAAACTTTGAACGAACACATTCTCTTCTTGGCTGTGGATACTGGGAAGATTAGCTCCTTGTATGGCGCATGCTCCCTGACTGAGGCTCCATGAACTGCAGGGAGCTACTTTTCTGTAGCAATATCCCCTGAAGTAGAACCAGTCTTTTTCGCAAATGTCTGTTTTATAAGACAAAAATGCATGATTAGTTTAGGTCATAAACGAATATATTCATCATTTTTCAATAAGCTCCACGAGTGCCACATGACCTAAACGAAACAGCCTCATTCCTTTTCGCAAAAAAAAAAAAGCAAATAAATAAATAAATAATAATAATAAACCTTTAAAAAGGAGTAAACTCCTTAATTCATCACCGTTTGGTAGTTCAGTCGTTCATTATATTCATGCATTGATCTATTGAGTCACAATATATTTCGCATTTTGAAAATATGGATTTGCTCGCTTTTTCCGTTGCTCTTAAAACAACTTACAATTTATGTAAAACGAGCTTCGCCTTTTTGCACGCTACTTCAAATAAGTCAATTTAAGCACCAACAGGTGCATATTCCCACAGGAACTTTAACATGTGGGAACGATATGGGCGCTTACCTGATAGCACTGCATATGACACTGTGATGGGATCGAAACGTTTAACAAAGAGTTCTTTGGCACAAATGCGAAATCCATATTTGGTGATAAACTTGAAAAAAGAGAAAACAAACAATAAGAATTCTGATGCACAAGTTGTAATAAATGATTGCCGCTTAGTTATGTAGTGCCCTCATCTAAACAATCTGACAAAATGGAGGGGCATGTTTCATCCAAACCGTTGTTTTCTTAATGCTAGTGGTGCTTTCATCAGTCATTTAAGTCAAAATTATTGTCCAGAGACTCGACCTTGGAAAAATATTAAACTTGTTATTGTATTAATCTGCAATCTTGGAAATATCTGGGATTTTTTTCTTCAGGTATATTCAGCGCTTTCTTGTACCTCAATCCAGCTTACGATTCCGTTACACTCTGCGGCTGAGTTTGCACCAC